CCGAAAAGACAAAAAACAAAAATAACTTTAAAAAAAAAAAAAGTAACAATTGAAAATTTAACTAAACAATAACAATGATAAAAAAAAAGAAAAAAAATAAAAAAAAAGACCACAAACAAATTAAATAAAGATTTTTGTTGAAATTCAAAACTTCAAATGAAATTTTTGTTCTAGATTTTGTAAATATTAATTTCTTATAGAATTCTTATAAAAGCATTCCAATAAAAATAAATAAATAAAAGTGATGGAAAGAGTCATGTATGATAGGGAATTTTAGGATAATAAGGTTATGGAAAGATTCGTGCTTGATTTGGAAAGATTTTAAGATAGTTACATTATGGAAAGAACGGTGTTTGAGTTGAAATTTAAAAATAGCCACATTAAATATTAAATTTTTATGTGAATCAATTTTTATCGGGTTCTATAGTTGTCAATTAAATCACTTTCTTTTAAATTATATATAAACTATTTTTTGTTAAATGCTAATTAAAGAAAGATTTTTTTTTTCCTCAGGGGGCCAAGTATAGATTTTGTACTATATATATGCTATATTATTTTATTTTTACCTATACTAAAAAAAATTCCAAAAAATTAGGGGGTGTCATGGCCCTCGCCAGCCCCCCCTTTCCTCCGCCCCTGCTAATGCTTTATTAGGTGGGAAGGAAGGAAGGAAGGAAGTAGGGTGGAGTGGATGGAATATAGGAAGGAATAAACAAACTCTTGAAAACAATATTAAGCTAGAACTTTTGAAAAAAAAAAAAAATTTATTACGTAGGCAAAAATGTTTTACTATTTATTATATACAAAAATATATGTATCTAAACTTTTCCCAATTTATTTAAATAAAAAAAACTAATTATTGAAAGAAAATTTTTTGTCAAACTTTTAGAACAAACACAAATAAGATTTATACCAAATTTATAAAAAAATTCAATTAAATAATTCTCTTTATTTACCGAAAAGACAAAAAACAAAAAACAAAAATAACTTTAAAAAAAAAGTAACAATTGAAAATTTAACTAAACAATAACAATGATAAAAAAAAAAAAAAAAAAAAAAAGAACACAAACAAATTAATAAAAGATTTTTGTTAATATTCAAAACTTCAAATGAAAATTTTGTTCTAAATTTTGTAAATATTAATTTCTTATAGAATTCTTATAAAAGCATTCCAATAAAAATAAATAAATAAAAGTTATGGAAAGAGTCATGTATGATAGGGAATTTTTGGATAATAAGGTTATGGAAAGAATCGTGTTTGATTTGGAAAAATTTTAAGATAGTTACATCATGAAAAGAACGGTGTTTGAGTTGAAATTTTAAGATAGCCACATTAAATATTAAATTTTTATGTGAATCAATTTTTATCGGATTCTATAGTTGTCAATTAAATCACTTTCTTTTAGATTATATATAAACTATTTTTTGTTAAATGCTAATTAAAGAAAGATATTTTTTTTTTTCCTTAGGGAGCCAAGTATAGATTTTATATTATATATATGCTATATTATTTTATTTTTACCTATACTAAAAAAAATTCAAAAAAATTTGGGTGGGCCATGGCCCCCGCCAGGCCCCCCTTCCCTCCGCCCCTGCTAATGCTTCATTAGGTGGGAAGGAAGGAAGTAGGGTGGAGTGGATGGAATATAGGAAGGAATAAACAAACTCTTTTTGTTCGACAGAGAGGAGACGGTGAAAGAATGGATAAATCATTATTCCTCTTTCACGTATTTTCTTTCCTAAACAGAGGAGGTAAGACAATTGGGGCTATTATAAAACAACAATGCTCTTCATCCTCCCATATAGGACAATGCTCTTTATTATATCTGCACCAAATTAAATCTATCATGAAATCAGCTCCGCTTTCATACATAGACAATGCTCATTCGTTACATTGTTTTCCTTATTTATAGCATCAGATAGAAACGAATATGAAATCTGTCAATTTCTTTTATCTGGTTCAAGAAAACCCAAAAAAAAAAAAAAAAAAAAAACCAATTACCTAAGCTAAGTTTTTGTCTAATTTCAGCTGAATTTATATAATTTTCAAGAACCAAAAGCCCTCTCCCACAAAGTACTTTGACTGCCTATTGAATTGCATAACTAGAAAAGAAATCTGTCATTTTCTTTCATCCATTTCAAGAAAATCCAAAAAGAAAAACAAATTAACGAAGCAAAGTGGTATAAATTCTTAGCTCAATTTATACATTTTATCCATTTTCCAAGAGCCCAAGTCCTTCAACTATTATCTTATTTTCTCGATATAAGATGAATTTTATTGAACTGGGAGCTTTAATCATCAGCACATATAAAACAGAGGAAATAGAAAGTACCAAACGCTAACTTGAAACCACAACAATATTTCCTTAATCTCCTTTTAGAATAATTTTATTTTTCAAAAATAATTAAAGAAAGTAAAACAATTTTTATGTATACAAAAAAAAATAAAAAAAAATAAAAAAATAAAAAGTTAATGAAACACTAACTTGAAAGATCCGCTCCTCAGACATGGACACATGGAGATGAAAAACTTGTAGATCTCTCCTTGGAACGCAAGCAGATTAAAGATTAAGATGGAGAGATAGATGAGAAGATTAGAATGGGTTTGTTGCAGTGAATTGAAGGACTGAGTTCCAATCAAGTTGTATCAATGAGGGAGAAGAGAGTGATTACGACCCAGGTAAATGGGCATTGCCCATGTTTTATTATTATTATTTTTAATTTTGGACAAGTGTTTGCAATGGAGAAGGCCACGTCAATAGGGAGGACATCCTCCCGCGCTGGATGCAAGCATTGTTCTTATAAAAAAAACCTATAATAACCTGAACTTATATCTTAATTGAATAAAATGAAGAACTCCTTAAAACTGTCTAGTGTAACTTAAAAGTTCAAAACATCTCTCTATCACATTTCTGGCAACAGAATGCTTCATGTTGATAAATTAGTGGGTTGGTGTCCCTCCCTCTAATCATTCAACTGATATCGTTGTTTTCTATATGGCGTGAGAAATCCTTCAGAATTTGTGTATCCAATATCAACAAATGGTAGGATAAAAATAAAAAAATCAATAAATAGTAATAATTTGTATAGTAACATAAGTTTTAGACTATTAGTGATAATTTTCTATACTAAAGTGTAAACATTTTGCATAAACACGTGCTTACCATGAGAGGCATTGAATCCGTTTCTCCTTTCCGTCACTCTAGAATCTGTAACTGACCCTTCCCAACCAGGCAGTACTCTGTATATAAATTACATGTCTTTTAAACACATCCCCAACATAATCATTGCAATTTCACCGTTTTTTTTGTGTTATATACCTTTATATGTGTCCCATCTTGAACGCCAATACGATTCTAGAATATTAAAAAATAGAAAAGAAAAATATGTCTACCAAGTTCATAATAAATAAGAGACTTCTTCAACGAGCATCTAAAAGACTATTTACCTTACTCATTTTCATATCTCTCATCTATTGAATCTGAAGGAATTGACTCTGGTTTTTAAGCAAAACTCCTTGTAGAAGTATAGCGGCATTCATCATTTTTTTTTTTGTTTCCTTTAACCTACCTAAATTTTGAAGCAAGAAGCATAATTTGGTAAATGTACGTCTATCCATTCTAAGTTGTTCTATGCAATTTCTATCACTCTCGTAAACAAGTAGATAAATATATTTTCTTTTAAGTAAAAAATCTATTATTTATCTCCTACTTAGAGGACGTTTTCAAATATCAAACATCATTAAGCAATAAATCAGTTGAAGTCACCAATTTACCAGCTATATTATGGTTATTCTTAAGACAATATGCTGTGCATCACCTGCTGTAGCATTTGAGGATCGAGCCAAGCCTAGGCCAAACAAATTTTGCTCTAAAATTCTTGTCTATTTGATCATAATTGTTATTAGACCAAAATTTTAACCCACCTATTTAACTTTTAAAGTTATTTTATGTATAGTAGTATAAAATAGATATAGGTATAGATTAACCTAAAAATAAAAAGTGATTGGGTATCAATTTAATAGTATAGATAGATATAAATATAGATTAACCTAAAAAAACACTTGTACATAGACATTTATGTGTTTATTTATATAATGACGATATGCCAAATTATAACACGTGGGTGAACTAGGGATGTAAAAGCAAGAAATCGTATTTATTTATTATTATTACGAAAAAATTATATCAAAATTGATTGGGTATGAATATAGTACCTAGTATTTCTTTATCACAATACAATTTTTTTTTTTAAATCATTTAAAATAACTTCATTACAGTATATGTTAACAATAGTATCTATGCATTAAGTTTCAATTCTAATTATGCTTTTTAAAATTTTTATATAATGAAAACAACTCAATATTTCACATGAATAGTGAAATATATTATTAATTAATTTATTACAAACATAATCTTAGATGAAAAGGCCTTGTTATGCAAAACTAGATGAAATGCCTTGCTATACCAAAAATTAGATGAAATTCAAATGAATATATATATATATATATATATATATATATACACACACACACATATATGGAACAAAGATATATCCAATGGCGCTGTTTATTGTCTGTTATTTGCGAGTAAATTACACTTATACCCCTTGAGGTTAAATTATTCAACTAGATTAATATTTTAATTTTAAATTTCATTTACATTTGAAATAGTGATTTAATATTTCACTTAAACCGTCAATTTTTTGTGAGATCATAGTACTTTTAAGATATTAAATGATCATGTTACCTTTTGACTTGACTATTTTTGTGACCAAATTACCCCCAACATACACCTTTCCTCCCCTTCTTCCGCCTCCTCAGACCATCTCATCCAATTCACCCCTCAACTCCACCATTAAGAAGGGGAGGAAAGGTGTATGTTGGGGGTAATTTGGTCACAAAAATAGTATATAAACCTTGTGGGGGAAACTCAGGAATTACAATGGAATTACAGTGTTCTGTAACATCTGTCAATTATAAACAACTTTTGCACCTAATCTTTATTAAATATAAAAGATAAAAGGAAGTGTGTGTATATAAAAATCTGCATATACATTTAAAAAGCATTTGTAGGTATGTATATATAGAAATATAATTAGAATTTGCACATGATTAGACCTCAACCATTTGATTCTGCTTCTTCAAAGAAGATAGAATCAAAGAACCAATTAGCGGAGCCTCAACTAAGCGAACAAATAGCTTCAACGCGAGCCCGGTCAAATGAGGAGCTGCAATTCACCTACACCAGTTCAAAACAAGTAATAATCGAACAAATTGCTCATAAAGAATCACATCAAACACAAAGCCACATATCAAGAATCAAATTTCCATACCTTTGATCACTTCAGTCAACTTCGGGCGAGCTCGGAACGGCAGCTGCGAATCACCGGCGACGATGGCCTCAGAGAAGAAGGAAGAACCCACGTGAACAAATTATTCAAGCTTATTCACGGCGTTCCGATCTTGCCGTCCTCCACAGCCACTTTATCGTCATCGTCACCACTTGAATCGCCAGCTCCACAAACCAGCAGCCATAACCGAGCATAAAGCTCGATGTATTCTCCGGGATAGTGCCTCTGACAGCCGCTCTGCTTCAAGCTTCCGTTTTTCATAGTGACACCTCTTGTGTCCTCCCAACGCCGAACACAACCATGCTCATTAGCACCGGCTGCCGCTTCATCGCCGATCATCACAGTCGCGTCCACAAAGTCACCGATCACCCCAATTGTCGGAGGCGGGCTTGATGGGTAAAATCTTTGACTGAATTTTACCAAAATCCCAATTGGCGATTTGTTTGTTTGTTTGTTGGCAGTGATCCGAACTGGTGATTGGGTGGTTGAATTGGTTGTGTGGATTTGGATTATTGATTATAGTGATTTGGGGGTGATATTATAGAGATGAGAGAGAAAACAAAGAAGAGAGAGAAATGAATATCCAGAATAGAACAATATATATATATATTGAGTTACTTTTTGTCATTTAAGATTATATATATTCTTTGTTTGGGTTGAAATTCACACGGTCTGATACGATATCGTTTTCTTGCGAGGAAGAGAGGAGAAGATCGATAAATCTTGACGGTACCGGTGTGGTGCCTACCAAGAGCTCTCTGACAATCAAATTAGTCACGGAGGTCTAAAAAGAAGGCTGGGATTAATAACAGTTTTTACGTCGTACCTTCTTTAATGACTTAGTGCCCTATTTATGGCTATCAATTGGAATCCAAATCGTTCCGCCAATGTCAATGGTTGATCTTATCTTCCGCTTGTGCGAAATCATAGGAGATTTGTTGCTAGATTTGTCCGGTATATGATTTAATCCTTTGAACCACCTTCAGTTATAATAGGATTATTCTTACCTGTTGAATCACGTCAAATTTCACTATCCTTGATAATGAAATCTAATCAATCTTATCGAGGGTAGGGTAGGTTTATATTTTTCCCTATCAGTTGCCCCCCATTCCCAAGCTTGCACGTCTAGCTTTGGGAATGTAATAAATAATAATTTTTTTTTTCTTTTTCAACCCCTGTGAACAGTACCAGCATGTACTATTCATGTGAATAGTAACTCAGGGAATTTTTTTATTTTTATTTTTAATACCCCTGTGAACAGTATGCCCGCGGGCACTATTCACGTGAATAGTAACTCAGGATTTTTTTTTTTTTTTTTGCACCCGAGGGAACAGTACTCTTCCTTTGATAACAGAATAAATTGTATAAGTTTCACCCCTTTAGTAAGAGAATTGAACTTTAAGAGTTTTACTCATCCCACCTCTTTAATAAAGGATTTTTATTTACTATCCCTTATTGTAAGGGGATATTAATTACGGGATTTATCCAACCCGGGTCCTTGTAGTACAGGATATTCATTTATTATCCCTTATATTACGGGGATATAGATTACGGGATTCATTCAGCCCGGATCCTGATAATACATGATACTTATCCCCTATAGTCCGGGGATATAGATGACGGGATTCATTCAGCCCAGGTCCTTGTAATACAGGACACTCATTTACTATTCACTTACAGTACAGGGATACGGATTACGGGATTCACTCAGCCCGGGTCCTTGTAATACAAGACACTCATTCACTATCCCATATAGTACGGGGATACGGATTACGGGATTCACTCAGCCCGGATCCTTGTAATACAGGACACTCATTTACTATCCCTTATAATACGGGGATACTGCACATATAAACTAAAAGGAATTTTATTAAAGACCATCATTGCCTCAAGGCTTATTAAAAACAAAATAACACGTGATGGAGCTACCCTCCATTTAAAATGATTAACTAAGATGCCCCCAGTCTTTATTGTGAATGACTTGATAAGGCTAATTCCAGCCGTGAGACAATTTCTAGTCGGTATACTCATCTGAGTCATTCTCATGATATGTGCTGTCGCTCTGGCTGAAGAACGATTTCTTATATTTGGTATTATTTTCATCCCTGGCGAGAGGGGTTGGCCTCTTCTTGTCCTTTTTTCCTTCTGTGCACTCATGGTGTCTTTAGCGTTGATGTGTTTTTGCGCTCTAACCAGCAACTTTATCATACTGGTGGGAGGTTCTTTTGATAAGGAGAACAAGAATCTGGAGGTTTGGAGTCCTCCTATGAAAGCGGTCAAAGCTACCTTGTCGTCCACCTCTTTTACCTACAACATCTCTGCGTTGAATCGGGTGATGTATTCCCGAATCGATTCTTCCTTTTGTTGTTCCATAGTAAACAAGTAGGTAGCCGGCCTCCTATGCCTCTGACCTGCAATGAAGTGGCTCACAAACTGCTTACTCAATTCTTCGAAGGTGTTGATGGTTCCTGGCTTCAACTTGTTGAACCAAACTCTCGCTGATCCCTTAAGTGTAGTGGGAAAAGCTCGGTACATGATTTCATCTGGCACAACGTGTAAATGCATAAGAGCTTGAAAAGTTTCCAGGTGATCGAGGGGATCTTTGGTCCCATCGAAACTTTCGAACGAGGGCATCTTGAACTTGCTAGGTAGTGGACATTTCATAACGGCAGGGCTGAAAGGCAGGTTGGTCTCTTGTACCAGGTCATCTATGGCGGCAAGACCTTTCCCTTTCATAGCCTGCATTACATCTTCCATTTTTCCCTTGAGATCCTGGATCTGCAAGTCGAGATGGGTAACTTTCTTTATCTTTTCCTTAAGACAGAAGGCTATGCTTTCAGGAGGTCGGGAACTCCGTGGGAGAGATGGGTGAACCACCTCTCTATGTCGGGTTCCCACCTGGCTTTGTTCCACTTCAGTCTCATGTTGAGGGGGATGATTATCCTTCTCTTCAAGATTTCCATTACCTCCGTTTGGACTTGAGAGATCTTGTCCTGGAAAGTTTTGTTGAACCGGTGGAACAAGGTATTGCAAGAGCGTTACATTTTGCTGAATCAACTGGTTCATACCCTGACTCAGATTTTGAACCTGCAGTTCTAATGCTGCAAGCCGTGCCTAGTTGTTTGGGACGTCCAGGTTTTCCTCCGACTCTACCCTTTGACCAGATCCTTACGACAGTGTTCCTTCGGTAACCATACTGGACTGCAAACGTATATACCCAACGAGTAATTAATTGATTCAAGGGAATCATCGTTCCCACAGACGGCGCCAACTGTTGAGGCTGAAATTCGCGCAGTCCGATACGATACCGTTTTCCTGCAAGGAAGAGAGGAGAAGATCGATGAACCTTGACAGCACCGGTGTGGTGCCTGCCAAGAGCTCTCCGAAGATCAAATTAGTCACGGAGGTCTAAAAAGAAGGCATGGATTCATAATAGTTTTTACGTCGTACCTTCTTTAATGGCTTGGTGCCCTATTTATGGCTGTCAATTGGAATCCAAATCGTTCCGCCGATGTCGATGGTTGATCTTATCTTCCGCTTGTGCGAAATCATAGGAGATTTGTTGCCAGATTTGTCGGGGATATGATTCAACCCTTTTGACCTCCTCCAGTTATAATAGGATTATTCTTACCTGCTGAACCACGTCAGATTTCATTATCCTTGATAATGAAACCTAATCAATCTTATTGAGGGTAGGGTAGGTTTATATTTTTCCCTATCATTTTGTATTAAAAAATTGAGGGTAAAAGGGTCAATTAGCATGTGTTAGAGGCCAAAAAGTAAATTGGGGTGTAAATGAAATTTTAAACCAAAATCTTCATCTAGCTGAAATAATACATAATCTTAGGGGTGTTTGTGTAATTTATCCGTTATTTGCATATTCAAGTGTTTTGAGCTTTGTTTCAGCCAAAGAGAAGTCATCATCAAACCTTAGAGAAGGATATTGGCAATGTGACGGCCTAAGTTTTGTAAACCCGGTGCGTCAATGATGACCAAAAGATGACCCGATAATGGATTCGAAATGCAGAAGTGAAAGGTGAAACAACGGTCTCTAGAGATACAATGCGTCTCTAAGACACCAATGTAACCCTCAATGAGGTCACGGAACCCAAAGGAAACAAATGTAGAAGTGTCGTTTCAAAAACGGATAAAAAGAACCTAGGGGCAAAATGGTCATTTTGCAAAAAGTGGATTCAAGTGCTATCGAGCACACTGCTGGAAAGACAATGACAAATTAGTCAAGTTCAAAAAAAGTTTACTCAATTTGGAGTCCGGACGGGGGAGAAAGGTCAAAAACAAAAATGATGGCGTGGCGGCCCGACGAAGACAACCTACCACTGCTGCAACTGAGAGTAAAAACGGGCATCTAAAAAGACTTTTTTGGAAAAACTCAAAAAAGAAACCCCACCTAAAATCAAATTTCCTACCCCGATGGCCAACGGAAATAAAAAAAAAATGCATTATAAAATACCCAGAATGCCCCCAAGAAAATCAGGTCAAGAGGAAAAAAAACTAATCCGAGCTACTGCCCAAAATTTGGAAATAGGGCTTCGGGAGGTTTTTAAATTGCCTAAATTGAAAATGCAATCTTAAAATGCACACACAAGACCTCAAGGAAAAATGAAAAAACGCATTGTGAAATACCAGAAATTCCCCTGGAACAGAATAGGGAAAAACTTCCTAAAAATGCTACTTAGAGTTTTTGTTTCATCAAGAAAGGTATTGTTTGCCAAAGTGAGCATTCAAGTGTATGTAATATGATAAAATAGATGTGCTACAATAGCCTATGGCCTCATTACAATACATTTACAACATTTGACATTTCAAACCTCCAAGTTAGAAAAATTACATTTCATAGACAAATCATGAACATGCTAACACTTGCATGTGAACAAGAATGCTTCTGAAGAAGCTCAACTCAGCAAATCACCCAAGCAATTGCAATCTCCAATCTTGTATCCTGTACCTGAAATATGCCCCAGTATCGTAAGGGTGAGTAACATAAAGCTACTCGTAGGAAATGAGCATGCATCGACCTAAAGTTTTACAAGTTGCAAGATTTAATTATTGTGGTTTATTCCACCTAACGTCTATGTCAAGGTGAGACTCAGGGAACATCCTAGCTACCTAAGATCATTTATAGTATCAATTACCTCATTCATGTAATTTTAACAACATAGGGTCATACTTACACAAAGCAACAACACAGGAGCATGCTTACACAAAGCAACAACACAGTGGTTCTCAAGGTTATCAACTTGAAGTCTAAAATGCAACATCTACTCAATATAACAATTTAGCATAATTAGAATATCAAATACCACACATTAAGACATAGATTCTCTAGGTTATCGACTAGCAATCTAAAAGTGTGAAATCAATTAAATATATCAATTTAGTATGGATGTACTTAACAACATCAAATCACCAATTACTAAAACCACAAGTCACAATTAAACATTAGTTGTCAACTTGGAATTGAATGCAAAATCAAATAATGGAAGACTTGGACATCACAGCTCGGATTTCCGCCGAGACAAGGCAAATTTGGAGCTACTAACCCCTAGGCAGCCTACCCAACGCGCGAACTTTTAACTTAGAGGACTCTTGTCCCCGTACTAGAGCCAAACCCTAGCCATCACAGCTTAACAATG